AATAATATATTTAATTTTTCTATATTATTTTTCAGACCCAAACCTCGCTCAAAATATAAATGAACGAAGCGATTTTTCTATATTATTTTTCAGACCCAAACCTCGCTCAAAATATAAATGAACGAAGCGTCTAAATTAAAGGCGCGTTCTCATGTAAGCGAAAATTCCGACCTTCTTTTCTAACTGCAAACATATTTCAATAATAAATTCCAGGTTCCCCTATTATTTTTCAGACCAAAACGTCGTCTAAAATAAATGGACGAAACATCTAAATTAAAGGCGCGTTCTCGTGTAAGCGAAAATTCCGACCTTCTTTTCTAATTGTAAACATATTTCAATAATAAATTCCATGTTTCCCTATTATTCTTCAGACCAAAGCCTTGCTCAAAATAAATGGACGAAACGTCTAAATTAAAGGCGCGTTCTCATGTAAACGAAAATTCCGACCTTCTTTTCTAACTGCAAACATATTTCAATAATAAATTCCATGTTTCCCTATTATTCTTCAGACCAAAGCCTTGCTCAAAATAAATGGACGAAACGTCTAAATTAAAGGCGCGTTCTCATGTAAACGAAAATTCCAGCCTTCTTTTTTAACTGCAAACATATTTCAAGAATAAATTGTACGTTTCCCTATTATTCTTCAGTCCAAAACGTCGCCTAAAATAAATGGACGAAACGTCTAAATTAAAGGCGCGTTCTCATGTAAACGAAAATTCCAACCTTCTTTTTTAACTACAAACATATTTCAAGAATAAATTCCACATTTCCCTGTTATTCTTCAGGCCAAAATGTCGCCTAAAATAAATGCACAAAACGTCTAAATTAAAGGCGTGTTCTCGTGTAAGCGAAAGTTTCAGCACGATATTCGCTCGACTAGGATCCACGGTGGTTCCGTTCCTCGGTCTATAGAAGATTCTGACGACGGTATTCGTATAACGGTACCGTCGGCTTCTCGCACGTCGTGTCGCGTCGCGTCGCGACGCATACCTGCCGCTGAATCGAGCCGGGGGGACGTATATACGCGTCGTGTGTTACGTCGACGCATGTTGCCGGCGTTACGTGCGCTGCGATGCACGTATACATGTACGAACGCATTTTGCCGTGGCGAGACGAGCTGAATGCCAATCGGCACGCGAACCATCGTGTTTCGATCCACCCACGGAACGTGTACAAGACGTGGATAGAAAGAGAGGAGAGCAGAGGCTCATAAAGTTATGCCAGTTTTATTGCGAATATTTTGACTCGTTCGAGCACACGGCGCAACCATGTATTATCATTTGTTGCCGTTGTCTTCATCCGCAAATTGAGAGTGTGCTAAGATGAATAACGAACGAACCTTTTTTCTTTTTATTTTTCTTTTTGGATTCGTATAAATTATTTAATTTGCCAATTTATTATATTTCGTCACTTTCGTGATTATCGAGGAAGCTGGAGGAAGATTTGTGTGGCAAAATTGAAAGTGAATCGGAATTTTGTGGCCGTTAACACGTGCCACGAAAACTCTCCGATTCGCATGGTTTATAATGAGTCCATTCATACGTACCCTTGGTCGAGTCAGAGCGTGCCGCTGCTGCAAGTGCACGATATTCGCCTGGCGAGAGAAACATTCTTGGCGGATGCCAGTGAGGGACCATTCACGCTGTTCAACTTTTCCAGTTTCTATACGGGGTGGGAAATATGTGAGCACACTTCACTCGCATGTGCGATATAAATGAAACAAGATTGAGCAATTCTGAGGAAAGTGTTTAAAAATAAGAACAATTTAAATGAACGAAGTGTGCAAGGTCAGAGTAGAATAAAAATTCGAGATATCGTGTGTAATTTCGCAGGTGTGAACGCGCGATGGTTGAGCGTTCTCGAGCGATACAGCGTGTAGTACAAGTATCGAAAAGATAATACATTTAGAAGCGGAGATCGCGTTCGTACGATTAAAATCGAGAGCGCCGCCTCGTATAACCGCGTGGAAACGTTTCTATTCATCGAGGGAGCGTACGGTGGAAGTTGCAGTTTCATTGGAGCACGATAAAAGTGCCGGTACAATATCCGTCTAGATAGCGATCGAAATAAATCGCCGCTCTTAATTGTACCGATGATTAAAACTGTGTATACCTTGCCTGTGTGCCGCTCGATCGATCAAAGATCGAGGAAATAACCTGCGCTGTGCCGTTTACCAACTACTTACATTAAAATATGTCTTTCACATATATGTATATATATTTTTTTAATTTTTAATAGTACAGATTAATATTAATACGAGTGATAGATATTAGGTTGATCCCTTGACATTTTGTAATTTTTTCGAACGTTGAAAAGTTTTCCTTCTCTTACCCAAAATTTTGAGATTTCGAGCGTTCAAAAATTTTCTTTCTTTTAACTAAAATTCTGAGATTCAGAAGAGTGCAGGAATTTTGGGTCAACTTAATATCGACACCCAGTTTTTCATGGAAATCATAGAATTTTTCTTTTCAAATATATGTATATTTTTTAAATTTTGCATAGCAAAGATTAGTATTAATACCTTTTAAATGATAAATATTAGGTTGATCCCTTGGCATTTTCTAATTTATTCGAGCATTAAAAAATTTTCTTTCTCTTAACCAAAACTCTGAGATTCAAAAGAGTGCAGGAAATTTTGGGTCAACTTAATATTGAAATCTAGTCTTTTACGGAAATGATACAATTTTTCTTTTCAAATATATATTCTTTAAATTTTGCATAGCAAAGATTAATATCATTACTTACGAATGATAGATATTAGGTTGATCACTTGGCATTTTCTTATTTTCTCCCAAATTTTCACCCAAAATTTTGAGATTTGGAAGAGCGCAGGATTTTTCGGATCAACCTAATATCGAAATCCCAATACCGAAATTACGAAAACGAACGGACTTTTCATATCGTCTTTTCAGCAATACGTTCAACGGGCGGGTGTGCAATCTTAATTAATTTCAACTTGTTTCGTGGACGCAGGAAAGAGGAGAGTTACGTAAGGATCACGGAGTGGAATCCAAACTCGAATTTACACGGAACTCCCGGGCAATGGAGGCGGGCCAGCGCGGTTCTTGCGGTCTGAAAAATACCGCAAAGGACAATATGGGTGATTACGAGTCGAGCCGACCGATTGGGAACGCAAAACGAAATTGAATTCCATCGGCGTACTATCGGAAGTAATTTGATCGTACCTAGGAAGTCGTTCTTTCCTTTCCTGCACTTTCTAGGAGAACTTTCATCGTCTACTAGCCAACCTTTGTGTCAGATCGACCATCTTAACATTTCTGTCGAATGAAATTCATTTTATGGTAAACTACAAGGATCTCTATCTGCTTATTGAACTGTTTTGGAAGACATAGCAAACTTAAGTGGTACCAAAATTCAACTCTCTGCATCATTTTACTCCACCTTCATAAACGACCAAATGGCTAACTTTTCCGACAATTTTATAACAGTCGTACAGCCTAAAAATCGATCTCGCCACAATCTACTCAGAATTCGAAAAAAACAGCCATGTCTCGAAGCGATGCGCGTAAACAACGTGGTTACGCGAGCCCAGTCAGCTCCATCGCGATCCCATGATCAGCATTACGACTACACTCGCCACTTTCACTCGAATTCTCCAGTTTTTTCGCCGTCTACTGTATATACACCGAGAGACTAAGCAACAGAGAGACCCGTGTCGTTTCGTTAAAACAGCCACGTCTCCGTGGTAGCAAAACAGTTAAGCGGCGGGTCCGCGGGCCAAGCAAAAACGGTGCGGAGGTTTGGTGGCGGCCATTGAAAAGGGGCCAGAAGCAGCAGCAGGATCGGCGATCGTAGCAGCAGCTGCCAGGACTCAGGGATCCCGATCTCTCTCGCGGAGAGGACCGCGTAAATGCGCATCAGAGAGAGGGACTCTCTCTCTCTCGTCCAGAGATTCCGTCTGGAACGCAGAAAAGGGTGGGTAAGTAGGGTGAGAACGATGATCGCTCGGAGGGGGATGGGTGGCCGTGTGGAACAGCAGTCTGGCCAGTTGATTACGATGCCGAAACGAGTGGCGGGCCATATCTCCAACCAGTTTCGGACAGTGTCTTCGGCTGGAGGCAGGACTACGTAGCAGAAGAGAAGAGACGCGCTTGTACGGGCTATGGAGTTGCAGCCTATACTGCTGCTTCTGAGGAAGAGGAGGATCGACCTAAGCCGGGGTAGAAAGGTAAGAGGAGGCAGCACCAGCACCAGCACCAGCAGCCAAGCAAGAAGAGACGGAGGAGGCGACAGCCGAGCTTAAGTTTCGGTTTCGTTCGTTTCGCGCCTGCTCCGCGTCGAACGGGAGCCGAGAGTGAGCGTGTTGGATAGAGCGAGTAAATACAGAGGGCAGCAGGAGAGAGAAAGAGAGAGACAGAGTGAGAGAGAGTGAGAGAACTGGCGGAGAGACGCCCGGCGACGCGGCTGGAAGGGAACGAGACGGAGTGAGTTAGAGTCGAGTGAGGGAGAGAGCTGAAGAGACGTGGAAAAAGGGGCGAAGGAGAGAGAAGGAGGAACGATCAACGACGGCGGTGGAGGCAGTAGGAGGCAGGAGGGTGGAGAGAGCGAGAAGGAGCGAGAGACTGAGAGCGAGCACGAAGGGGGTGGAGAGAGAGGTGGCGGCGTCGAGGCGAACAGACTTCACCGGCGCTCTGCTCCCAATAACGACTCTCGCCCTCGGTCAGTCGCGCGCGAACCGCGGAGCCGCGAGCATCTCTCCGTTTCTCTCTCGCTCGGCTGCTCTCGGCGGGATACCTGCGTTTCGAGCCGCGTGCACGTGCGATCCGGGCTCCAGAGCGAGAGAGCAAGTGGAATTAGTAGGGTACATAGGACAGAAGGTGAACAGAAAGAGAGCTCTGAAGGGGATCTTCTCTGGTTGGAACGTCGCACCAACGGTGATCCAGAGACAGGTGAATCCATTCCTCGATTGTTTCCACGACTGTCGCGACCATTTCGAGGGATATGCTGTGGTGTTCCTGAGGAGTCTGTGCTGGCAGGTATCGAAGGAAGCAGAGAAGGCTAATTCGGAGGAAGTCGAAGAGGATCGTCTATCGGAATATCGGAGTAACTTGGTGATCCAAAGGCAGGTGAACATTTTCCTCGATTACTCGTTCGATTGTCGACCATTTTGGAGGGGCACGTTGGTGTCCATGAGGAGTCAGAATTAACACATAACAGAGTAGGCTGACGGAATAGGAACCTTGAACGATTCATAGACAGGTGAACCAATTCTACCATCGTTTCTTCGATTGTCAACCATTTAGAGTAGCATGTCGACGTTCTCGAGGAGTCACATTTAGCAGAGGAGGCCAAACTGAAATCGAAACTGAAGAGGATCCTCCGTTGGGGTAACTTGTGAACCAAACACCGAGGTGAACCAATTTCTCAACTATTGACTATTCGGAAGAATGTAACGACGTGTCCCCTGAGAAGCAAAATAGGCGATAGAGCAAAAGTATAAGCAGAGAATGGCTGAATAGAGAACAGCTATGGAAGGTTGGCCTGTTCAAGGGTGAGAAAGGCTAGAGAAAACAGGCTGGACTCAGAGGCTGGTCCCAGTGGTCGCTCGTTTTCGTGGTTATCGTCTGACGGTGGTATCGCGAGTGGTGCATCCGGAGATACATAGATGCAGCTGGTGACCGAGTGAGAGAAGAGCGGAAAGCGGTCAAGTGACAACAAGCGGCAGGGAGAGCGCGTGGTATATAAAAGTGCGAACTGGTGGAGGAGCGACCGAGCGAGTTACCGGGCGGTTCGAGGCTGCCAGTGGCGCGCAGACCAAGAAGAAGAAGACGAAGAGGAAGAAGAAGAGAAGGAAGAGAAGAAGGAGGAGGAGGAGCGGGAGGGCAGACACACCATAGAGGACAACGCTGTTGCTATTTTCGAGCCCGCCAAATATCTCGGCGCACGGTGCCGCTCGCTGCTGTCTGCTACGCTGGCCCCTGCTATACGTACGGCTCTTTCTTCGGCCGCGTCCACGTTCCACCAAAGCGCAGCGATTCTGCGCCGATGACGCATGGCCCTGACCAAACAGGGAGAGAGAGAGAGAGAGAGAGAGAGAGAGAGAGAAAGAGAGAGAGAGAGAGAGGGAACGGAAGAGGGAGCGAGAGAACGGCGCGTATGACAGGTACGTTTCGACTTTTTGCCTTTTTGCAAAAGACAGCCGCGATCTCTTGACCTACGACGTATCTGTGCCGCCGTGACCGTGAGCGCTGACACCCGTGTGTCTCTTTGCTCGCTGGACATTGACGCCTTTCGATCATCATCCCTCCGACATCATCATCGACGTTCTTCCTTTCTCTCTTTTTTTTTCTTTTCTCTTTCTCGCTGTTTTTACTCGTTCAGCATTGATGGATGGGACGATGGTCACTGTTCTCATCTACTCGCTGTTTAACAATGAATAATACTCGATCGTTAAGCACACCATTACTGTTTACCGTGTGAAACTATCCGTAATTATCTCCCTATTTCTTGTTTTCGTCTTGTCTGCAGTTGTTTATTGGAAACAATTACGTTTGTTCTGCTGCCGTGCGCTACAATGTTTGATCAAGTGTCTCACACGTCGCTGCAATGGAACACGAGATACGAAGATCTTCAAAGGTCGAGATAAATACGCGTTGAAAATCAAATGTGAATATTTTAGCGGCGTTCATGGTTAATTTGTACCTCGTCCGCGTATTGTTTTCCAAACACGTGTAGAGATTACGCTTTTCGTTCCGTAATAAGCAGGCGTTTCACACTCGATTCCTCGACGCTATTCGCCCAACGCGATACCAAATTCATCGTTCTCCCGGTTCGTTATGCTCGATGTAGGAGAAACATCAAGATTTCCTCACAACATTTCATCGTTCTAACGAGGGAAATCACGTTGCGACACATGCAGCGTGTGTGGTATTATCTTAAAAAAAAAAAAAAACTGATTCCTCCGATTTCTTTTGTGAGAAACGTTAGGAATCCTGTGTGGAATGAATTTCACTGGCCAACAATGGCGACAGAACGGTTGTTCGTTCATTCTTATACTTGATTCTAATCAGCTTTTTCCATCGGTATTTCTGATCATTTACAAATAGAATTTTCTTAAGCTATATTAACTTTGTTTTCTTTTTCTCTTTTTTTTTTTTGATAAAGATTAAAGGAGCTAGAAATTATTAGCATAGGACAGGGGAGGAAGTAAGAGGAGGATAAAACGCGAGATTGCACGGCGCAAAAAGC